TGCTAAATAAAAATATTTGAAATGGAAATCAACTGTTTCAATAATCAAAACACAGGTATCAATTAAAACAAGACATATTACAAATAGTACCTTCATCATAGTAAAAAAGTTTCATCGTCAAACAAACATCATTTGGTAAAGGTCCCAGATTTTGCATTAGAATATAAATCTTTCGAATGAGGAGAATACTTGCTTTCTTGGTGTCAGCAGTTGACATGCTAGATTCATTGGTTTGATTTTTACTAGAAGAGAATCAGACAATTTCTTTCATAAAAACAGTCACTTTATTTTTTTTTTTTGGTATCAGGGATCAAACTCAGGACCTTGCAATTTCGAGGCCGGTGCTGGAACCACTGAGCTAAATCCCCGGCCCTAAAAACGGTCACTTTTAACATCAAAACTTTACACTTTGAGGTGCTGGGAATTTAGCTCAGTGGTTCCAGCAACTGCTTCGCAAGTGCAAGGTCCTGAGTTTGAGCCCCAGTACCAAAAAAAAAAACACCAAAAACAACACTTTACACTTTGAGATTATATAGCATGAAATTGTTATCATAAATTGTGATTTATATTACCACTGTAAAATTTTAATATCACTATTAATACAGATTGTTGTAATAAACCAAAACTAAATTTTATATAAATAAAACTAATTTTTTTATATAAGGTGTTTAAAGAACCCAAATGATGGGTTTTTGTTTCTAATCACTCAAGTCCTTTTCCACAATTAAAATAGTATATACAGTAATTAGCCACAGAATCCTATCTTGCAGCTATTCAAAGGCACTACTCTATTTTGACAGCTACATCTTGATGGCTGATCGGGTTTTTGAGAAGTTTCACAATTAATCCTGAAGTTAGCTAGGCAGGGTGGCACACACCTGTAAAACCAGCTATTTGGGAAGCTGAGATAGAAGGATCACAAGTTTGAGGCCAGCCACACAGCTTATCAAAACTGTTCAGCACTGAGGATTTAGCTCAGTGGTTCTGGCGCCTGCCTCGAAAGCACAAGGTCCTGAGTTTGATCCCCAGTACCAAAAACAAACAAACAAAAAACTCTGTTCAAAAAATAAAATAGGGCTAAGGATGTAGCTCAATGATACAGTACTTGCTTACTATGTACAAGGCTCTGGGTTCAATCTGCAGTACCCTGTCCCATACAATTCATCCTGAAGTTTAACTACATAACATTAATAAGTGGTAATGTGTAATATAGAGAGAAAATTATAGAACAATACCTTATAAAGTCCATGATTGGTCCATTTTTGGTGTACTTGAATTTAAACTGGTAACATTCTGAAATTGTCTTAAGTAGAAAATGTTGCAGTTAAGTAATTGATATATCATTCTGCCTGGTAAATAGCTACCTACTGTTTTTGTATGACTCAACATTTAGTCAATAGTTTTTCTGACATGTTAATCCCTATCGGTCCACTGAAGCTTCCAAACCTCAGCCAATTCCCATAATCTGGGATTTGGGATTTAGTCATGGAGAGATGTTTATTTTCCCACTCACTGCAATGTATGTTATGTATACTAAATGTTAGGAATTTCTTCGAAGGTAGGTAAGG